GCCCAAGCTCTGCCTGCGGGAAGCGCTCGGGGTTGTCCCCTCTGGGCGCGGGACGCCTGTTTGTGGAGCCCCTCCATCCACGGGCTCGGCCGAGGGCTGCGGGGGAGGCTGGCCGGAGGAAGCACTGGCCTTTGCTCCTTTTGGGAGAATTCCAAGATTTAGTGGTGAAAATGGAGTGTTAATGGCTTTTTTGAAGTCTCACAGTTAATGTAGACACACTGACCAGGTTGCCCAGGGAGACTGCATGTCCCAACCCTGGCAGTGTTCAGAGGTTCGATACCGCTTTGAGCAACCTGCTCTGGTGGGAGGTGTCCCTGCCCAGGGCAGGCGGTTGGGATGAGGTGATCTTTATGTCCATTTCAATGCCTTAACATTCAATGATTCTATGTATGGTGAAAATAAAGGATTTGTTATATTTAGGGGCAGCAAATTCTATCACAAACATGAGCACAGTGCTAGAGAAGCAGTATTTGATTGTTGAATGTTCTCCTATCTTGGCCCTGCGACTGCTCTGGTGGGAGGTGGCATTTAACATCTGTTTTTGGCCTATCTTAGGCTGATTTGGTAATTAGGATAAGAATTATGAAATGACTCATCAGTTAGAACTTCTTAAAAGGTCTATAGAAACATCTGAGCATTAGTACATCCCCTTTAGTAACTCCTGTATAAATTTTCTGGTTGAGCATTACTACATCCCGTTTAGTAACTCCTGTATAAATTTTCTGGCTATTTTTTGTGCTAAAAGCAGCCTTTGCTATGTTTGCACAGTGCTTAGTTGAGTAAGTTTTGGTGTGTGCTTTGAGCTCCTAAATAATGCTAAAGGTCTGCAATTCCCAAGGCCTTTCAGGTTTATGATCACTGAAGTATTTTTGGGGAGTGCGAATGACCTTCAGCAGCTTGAAGGATTTAATCCACACATCTCTTCCAATAAAGGATTTTTGTGGGGGTTTTGTGCATCTATTCATTCAATTAATGAAATAATTAACTTTTTTGTAAGACTGACAGTAGAGCAGTGTGACTAATTTGTGCTCTAATTTGGTGGCTGACAGCAGCGTAAGAATTAATAAAGCACAGAGACTGTTGTCTCCCCTTTTTCTTCAGAACCTAAGCTGCTACTCCTGTTTAGGAGGGAACCTGAAATCCAAATCCCAAAGATGTTGGCAAGGCAGCCATCCTTAATGACATACGTGTGGTTTTACTGCACATTTCATGTTGATTTGGTCTTGGGCTGAATATGGATCCACAAATGCTGGTGCTGTAGGTAACTTGGTACCTGTAATGTCTCAGTCATGGGTTCTGTTGCGATGCCCTTTCTGGTTTTGCCTGATGTTGGTGAATAACCTGAAGGGCTGTTCAGTGTGCTGTGGGGAAGGGTCACAGTGATCTGTTACCATAATGGAATTTTATTCAAAGAAACTTGAAAGTAAACTCACCTCCTGAAAGCAGTGCAGCCAAACATTCTGTGGTAGAGCTTGTTTCTGGCTGTATCTGTGGGTGCTTGAGCTGTGCTGCTCCCTATGGAGAGTCTCAAATATTTCCAAACTGTACTCTGAGATCCACATGAATTTACCTGGCAAATAAATTACGCCAGCAAGAAAACCTTAACTCATCCCAAAGCTTATTTGACTTTGCAGTGTGCCTTTGGTGCTAGCTGCTGTTGATGCAAAGACTTTGAGCCCAGGACTCAGAATGTGCTGCCTGCTGTGCCAACTCATGTACATGTATTGACTTGTGGTGGTTTAGCTCTCCTGCAAAAGGACAAATTTTCTCTTGACTCTGAATTCTAAAGCCTTTTGTAGTCCCTGAGTGCTGCACCTGGTTCTCGCTACCATCAGGCAAGAAGTAAGGTCCAGACTTGCAAATAAATACTAGTGTTCTTCAACTCTTTGCAGAAATGGCTCAAGAAGAGATGGAAGTTGATCTCCAGCCAGTGGCCGGTTATTCCGTGGAGAACTTCAGGACACTTCCCACAGAGCCCTCTGGTCACACGGCGCTGTCGTCCCACGCTCCAGGGCTCGGGGAAGGCGGAGGCAGTGCTGCAGTTCCTCCTGCTGACGACGCTGTTGTCACACCAAACCGTGGCACAGCACGGGAAGCAGCTGCGGAACCTGAGCCGCCCTTGAGTCCTGCCACAGCCTTCAGCAGGCTGCAGAGGCTGCAAGGGTCGTTTGATCCACGCCAGCCACTGCCTGTGCCACAGCTCACACAGCGTCCGCAAGTGAGGAGAGCTCGCAGGCAGCAGAGAATCGGTGGTTCCCAGAGAGCAGTCAGTGCCAGGTAAAGTAGAAATTGGGTCAGAACTATACTCTTACCAAGTACAGCATCAGTTCAAAACTGCCTTGCTCCCTGGCTAACAGAGCCCAGCCCAGTCCAGGTGTGTGGCTGTGGCCAAATTCAGGGCACCTCACCTACCTTTTGAGCTCAGTAATACCGCAGTGACTTCTGGTTTCTTCTGGCAGGATCTTTGCTCTTGTTAAGTGAATCCCTCTGTTTCATATGTTGGCAGTGGTGGTGTTGCCTCTTGAGCCCTTCTTCACATTCCAATTTGCTTGCAGAGCTTCTGCTCCCACTGTTCCCTCTGCTGAGCCAGATTCCTGTCGGTGCTTCCTGCAGCAGTGCTGACTCTCAGCAGTTCCAGCCAGCATTTAGCTCAGTGGAGCTTATGCTCTGATTTGCATTTCACCTTTGATTTGGGGACTGCCTGATTACATTCTCTGGTGACAATTGCTGCAGAAACTTTCACAAACGTATTTTTCTATAGGGTTTTTTCTTTTGTTACCTTTGGACAAAGAAAATTATTTGTATTTAATACCATTTGCAGTGAGTTTAAAGGGTGATGAGTGGGGATGCTCTCCAGGCAGAAAGAAATCCAAGTTTCTGGTTTGTTTGGTTTTTGTCTTATCTTTGTAGCTTTTGTAAATGCCAAAGGCAAAATTATAATTATCTGAAGCATTGCCTTTAAAGTCAGTGAGACCAAGGACTTCTCTCCTTCCAGTTGATTAAACACAACTGTATTGTTTGCCCTCAGATTGCATGTGAAGGTCACTGTAGTTCTCAGGGCTAGAAGGCAACCCAGAAAACTCTTTCGAATCTGAAGGATAATTGAGATGATAGCTGAACTGATGGGGGAAAGGGGAGGATGTTTCTATCCAGGGATGAAGTTCCAGTAGAAAAGAAAAGGGACACTAGGAAGACTTGGCAAAAGTAGCCAATGGAATGAGGCTCTGATACAAGCCTTATGCATTTTCCCAGTAGCAGTGGTCAAGGGAACCATGATGGAGTTAGGGTTGCAGAGACCGATGGGGAGTTCCTTAAGCTTATTAGTGGATGATCCTACTTTGGTTTTCTTCTCTCCAAGCCCACCCTAGAAGAAGACAATATCACTGCTGTAATGAGAAGGAGATTTTCTTTGAGCTGAGCAACAGGAATTGTTGCTGATCCTGCTGATTGTTCACAAAGTGGGTTATTGTATGGGATTGCCCCCCTACCAGAGAAGGTCTGATTTGATAGCTGTGATACCTTCCTGTTGCAGGCAAACACTGGGAAATTCAGTGCAAACAATCATGGAGAAATGTGCTGAGTTTTTAGCTTACCTGAAATAACTGTGGCTTTTGTTTCTTGCTTTTCTGGACCCAGGGCAGCACTGGCCCATTACTTTCAAATCAGTAGGACCCAGGAGCCAGCTGCAGGATCAGTTCCTCACCTGGGGCCCACGACCGTTGTGAGGGACAACCAGGAGCACAGCCCGGATGAAGTGGTTGAAGTAAGCAACTCTGACAGCAGCTCTTCTGCTGAGGAGGAGGAGGAGGAGGTGGAGGCTGATGCACCACCGTTACCATCAGCCCAGGAGACACCTCCAGCAGTGAGCTCAGGAGGTTTGTGCTGTACTTGAGTTGTGTAGAGACTGATTTCAGACACTCTTCTTGCTGTTTGAAAACTCTGCAGGGAAATCCTTTTGAGCTTCACAACAGACGGTGCCGAGAGATCCCTGTGCCCACAGCTGACAGGAGCAGGTTGCTGCCACACGGTTTTCTGGCAAGCAGCTCCTGAGAGCAGCAGCAGCAATGGCTGATTGCTGCCATAATGTTAAATACAATCTTTCTGCTGTTTGCAGGCTGGTACTTATCCTGAACATTTCCAGGATTATTTATAACTTCAGATTTAGGGATTTTTACTTACCATGCTTCTACTGTTATATATTATCAAAGAGTGTTACAAAAGACATCAGGTTGCAGTTTGGAGATCAGCAGTGCTGTCAGAGAAGGATCTGATTCAGTATTTTTTAATTATTTGAGATTTCAATCTGCTTCAGTTCAGAGTTTTCCTCTCATTCCTGTAACTTCTCGTGACACTCTAGCTGAAGAGGTGGAGGTGCTTTTTGTTTGTCTTTTGCTTTCATTGGCTCTTTCTGGCTTGCAAGTTCTTTATCCAAGCTCATGTTCACAGGCTGCCACACACTTCAGTGACATTGTTTGTGATGAACATATGCAGTTTATGTAAGAGTGACAAACAGCTAACTTGCTAGTCAAGGTTATTGATGCCCAGTGAATACAACAACAAGGTTATTTTTTTTGCTTCAGTCTCTAAGGAATTCCTTATGATTCACTCTCTGCCCTCAGTTTTGGTTTTGATTGGCCAGCCCACCTTGTTACCTTTTTTTGAGGGTACAATATGAGGTGCCTTTTGAACAGATCCATTCTGCTTGCTCTGGGCTAGTCTTACACGTGGCAGGAGTTCAAGCTGTTATGTGCTGTATAATATTGTGTGAACATATGCTCTCTGTTGGATTTTTTTTAATTCCCTTGTCTATTTCGCTTATATAAGCTACTGGCTCCTCTTACAGCCCAGAACCACAGAGGCTGAAAACTTTATTGACGTTGGACAGGGTTAGGTGATGCTTCCACTGGATTGAGAATATCTGCCTCGATTACTAAATGAGTTTAATAACTCTTTGTTTTGTCAGGAGCTAGCAGGGAGGCAGTGATTTTTGCTCCCTTTTAGGATGCTAGTGGTGGAAATCCACATGTAGCAGTTGTGTGTGCCTGTGCCTCAACAGAAGGGCCCACCACAAAAACATACAGCCCAGCAGAGTTGGTAGTTAGACAACTACCAGCTGGAAAACTGCTTAAGTCGGAGTGAATGGACAGCCAGCATACGGGAAATGCTTTCTTGGCACATGAAATATGCATGCTTAGATCCCTTGGCAAAGCAGCTTCTGCTTATTGGTGTCTGTCTTTCTCAGGGCATAATGATGCAGGGATATAACCTTACATTAGCCTAACTATAGACCAGATCTGTTTGTTTCATGCAGATCAGAAAAGTCTGATAACAATTGCTGTCCTCAAAAGACCTCACCTTTTTCACTGAAATTCTGTTGCTCTTCATAAAAGAAAACATAAAGTTCTTCAGCTCTACTGTTGATGTATAGAAGGGCTTAGACACCAACTGTGTCCAGGACACTGATGTGAAGCTTTGTATGTAACCTGTGCTGTTGTTGCACTGCTTAACCTATGCCCTGATGATTTCAGATCAAAGCAGGAGAACACCTTTTCCCCTGTTATGTGTCAGTTCATTTCAGCAATGCTTTCTTTAGTTTCCAGCCAGGTCCAAGCAGAGCTACCTCAAGCTTTGTCTCAAGCTTCTGCAGAACATGAAAACCGTGAAGGTGAAGCGGCTGAAGTCCAGCAAAAGCAGGTGACATGAGCTAAATGCTTTTGGAGGCAGATTATGTATGATAAATGCTGCATTTTCTAAAACAGTTGTGTTGCTTTTTTAATTTCTAATCCTAGAGAACTCCACCGAAGAAACTGGAGCCATCAGTTCCTGTTGCACCTCTGGAGGAGGAGGAAGGAGATACCTGTGCCATCTGCTTTGAGCAGTGGACCAATGCTGGGGACCACCGTCTGTCCGCGCTGCGATGTGGACACCTCTTTGGTTACACCTGCATTGACAGGTGGCTCAGGGGACAAGCAGGGAAGTGCCCCCAGGTAAATTGGGTGTTTATGTGCCCTGGAAAGCACTTGCCATTGGGTAATTTCTGCTGCAGGCATGATCACTGTGACTTGTACAACTGCTTGCTGCGTGAGCTGCTGTCAGAAATAACAAACCCCACCATTATTTTGATGTAACTAGGCCAGGAATGACTGGCATTGCTTTAAAGGATGAGTTAATAACTTGTTTTTTTCTCCCTGAAGTAGAGCATTTGTGAGTAGCAGACACAGAAGGTTGAGAGTTCAAGTGCTAAACCTGTAAATGGTTTCAGAACATCACACTGTGGTCCTGGAGTGTATCACCTGGAGTGGAAATAACAGACAGACTCCTAGAAACAGTTAACTAAGCATAAAGAATATGTTATTGCACAAGAAATCTGAGAACTGTTTTGGAACCGTGGAATGGTTAGGGTTGGAAAGGACCCTGAAGGTCAGCTAGTCTAGTTTTCAGTTGGTTAATCTTCTGCTTTGAACTGCATCTGCTTCTGCAGCCTTTAGGAGGACCAGGTTGTTCAGGAAGTTTGCAGAGAGCAAACTGAGAACCAAGTTGCATCTTTAATGTCCATGTGCAAGTGCTAAATCAGCTTTTGAGGGTGCTCTTTTCAGCTTTCTTTCCATGGCTAATACTGATCTCTTCTGATGACGTCTACACTTCTGTGTGATGTGCTTCCATTCCTTATTCCTTTTCTCCAGAAAGGAATATTGACAAAAAATAGGTCAACGAGTACCTTGTAACTAGGATTCAATTCTGCCGCTTTCCGAGTCGGTGGCTGGAAGCCCAGGATTTCTTTGGCTTTGTCATTTTGAGAGCTTCCATAGTCTTGCCTGACTTTGTGCAGGATACTCTCCTCTCAGCAAGAAATGTCCTACTGATGTGTGATGTGATTAAACCTAAAGAATCACTGTTGCCATAGCAAAGGCCCCAAGTTTATTTTTCTTATCCCTGTTAATTCTGTGAAAGCTTTTCTTCCCCCACGTAGGCCCAGAGTTCTCCGAGACCTGCCTGGCATCTTTACTCTTGGGAATGTTGTGGCTGCTTTCTTCTTGAACCCTAACAGCGCATAAGGGGTACAGGGGGTGCTTGCACCCTCTTTCTCTTCCAATGATATAATTACTAAAACATTCCTGGGAGAGCTTGTTCTGGAGAGAACCTTGCAGATAAATCATCTTCCCTTCATTTTCAGTCGCTGTCCTTTGCGACTGAGCGTTCTCTGGTTGAATAGCCCAGAGTTGCTGTGCATGGTGCTCTGTATACTAAGTGGCTTGAGAGCAAGTTACTGTGAAATTGCAGCATTCCTGATTCTGCCAGTGACAGCTGCTGGCTGCCAGGAAAACTGTCTTAGCCTCTTACTGCTCTGCAAGGCAGTTCTTTACAAAGGGAGGGGGTGGTCTGATCTCAAACTATTGCCTGTGGTATCTTCATGCTGCTAAAGAATAGAGAAGTCTTCATTTTAAGTGCACATAGTAATCTAATGTTCAGCAGAGGTTACTCAATCTGGGTATTCACTGTTTCTTTTCTGATCAACGAAGAATATGTGCAAAACAATGAGCTTGGAAGAAATTATGGCATTGGCAAGTCCTGACTTGGGAGGGGGATACATTCCCTTCTTTTTAAGGTGAATCTAAAGTACTAAATGGCTGTAGCTAGATGACAAAATTATTGAAATATCTGACTCCCTGTGTGTCACTGAAATCTGTGGGATGTCAATGTTTCATACTGGCACTGGGACACTTTTATGGATTTGAGCCTGTAGGATTTGGTCAAAGGAATATAGTACAGAGTTAACAGAGTTAGGAATATACTTGAGGGCTCCTAAATCCTTGTCTGTTAGCCAAGCAGCCAGTTTTGAGGTTTTAAAACCAGAGGTTGGGCTGGTGTTTTGTTTTGGATCTTGGTTTTTCCCTCTTTGTTTGTTTTTGGGGTTTTGTTATTTGTGGTTTGGTGTGTTGTTACTGGTTTTTGGCCCTGGAACTTACCTAATGTTGCTGTGTTGCTGATGCATTAGCAGAATACATTTAGTGGGAGGCAAGGAGATGGAATATTAAAGGTGCAGTAGAACATGTGACCTTAACTATTGCAGCCCCTATGAGAGCTCTGGTGTCTGTACGAGGGGCTGTCTTGCAAACACTCTGTATCAATATTCATGGCTCTGTTTTCCAGTAGCCAACCCCTCCCTGCAAAGCTATAAGAATTTTTCAAAATAATACCTAGAGATGCATAGTTTGGATAGTTGAATTCTTGTAGATGAACCCAACTTGTCTTTTTTTTCAGTGCAATAAGAAGGCCAAGCGCTCTGACATTGTGATCCTGTACGCTCGCACTCTGAAGGCTCTGGACACCAGCGAGCAGGAGCGCATGAGAAGGTACAGAGTCTCCACTTAGATACAACCTGCTCACTTGACACTGAAAGCTGCACTCTGGCTGCTACTTCATGCTTTAATTTCCTGTCTTGTCTAAAGCAATTTGTGCATTCCCTTGGGGTTTATCAGGCTTAACAAACCAAGGCCTTGCTGTGTTGCACGTGGCTTACCCAAAAGGAGAATTTTCTTTAGGAACAGAGTTCTTGAGTTTGCATTTTGTGGCCCTGAAACAGCAAAAGCTATCTTGTGCTATATCCTGAAATGTTATCATGGGAGTACATGCAGAGTTGATGCCAAAAAGCTGTATATTGCTAATTCATCATTAGGTGGGAAAAGCAAGGCATAGTTAGGAATGCGAGGGGGATGAAGAGCTGACCTTTTCTGCCATCTTTTCTGCATGCTTTGAACAGAGTAATCTCTCATACGAATCACTTTCCATCTTGCTTTGTCAAACTCTTCATGTAGCTTTACTTACAAAAGGTCAGCAAGCATTACTGGGACTCTACTTCCCCTTGCAACTTAAATGCAGACTTTGTGTTGGATAAAAAAGGAAAAGCAGGTATGAAAATGGGGACTCATTTCTTTTCAGTAAAATGCTGTCATAGATAATAATCTGCAATTGAAAGGCTGCAGATATCTGAGTTCTTGTGAATCTTGTGAATAGAATTTAATTGGGGTTTCTTCACATGTCTGTAACTATCCCACTGTTCTTTCAAGGCAGTCCTTCAACAGAAACCTCACTATCCTGGTAATTATTGCTCAGAAATGACTGAGGAGTAACAATCATAAAGGGAAAAAAAAAACCCTCTGCCCAGATTCCCACTGCCTGCAGGTGTTTGAACTGTACCTTTAAAAGGGTCGCACTTCTTTTTCTGGATTGACACTGTAAAATAAACAAGATGTAAGATTTTTTCAAAGGCATTTAGGTGCTTAAATTTAATCTCTCACGGAGGAGTAGTTGTCTGACTGCTGTCCGTGTCTGTCTTGCTGCAGCCCTTCCCCTCTTGCCCTGCACCTCCTCTGCCTCCTGTTCTTGTTGTGAGGCAGACAGACAGCAGTGACTGCCTGTGGGTCCATGGAGCTGCTGGCAGTGGCTGCTTTGTGGCACACAGCCATGAGTGGAGCAGAGATGTGTGTGTGCATGCATCAGTGTCATTTGCATGTAGCCTTGAATTACATATAAGATCACAAGGTTTGTTCTTCACATTGAAAAAACCCACCAGCCTTCAGGCTCTGGATACTTGTGTACAGAATGAGTTTGTGCTGGTGAAGTGCAGCATTTCACCTGTTTCTTCCACAGAAAAAAAAAAAATCACATGAAAATGCCATAGGCAAATGACAGAATTCTGTGCTTGGTGAACATGCAGGGATTGTCTGTGCATTTGGAAAGTACTTAGACAAGCTAGAGCTCCCTGCATGTGAGCTACTGGAATAACTGGAAAACTGCAGCTTTTGAAGCGCAGAATGCAGTGGGCAATTTTATAGACCCAAACGTACAGCTAATTTTAAGGTGTACTGGTGTTTCTTCCCCTTCTTTAACTATTCCTTCATATAAGCCTATATGAAAGAAATTCAAGTAAGTTACCAAAACTTCTGCTGCTAAAGGTGTCTGTGCACTTTAAGGCTCAAGGTGAGGTAGTAAGTGTGGCCTCTACTTGGGCATTCACAGAGAATTTATCTGTGCCATTCCATTCCCTCCTGAAATACCAGATTTGTTACTGGTAGCTGAGACAAGCTTGAAGACCTTGCTGTGTTATGGCTTGCTGTATGTCGTATGGACACTGATGGTACAGAATTTACACAAGTGTTTCTGTAGGGGGAAAACCCCCTGATTTCTCTTTGACTCTCCTCTACTTAGTACTTCTGGAGAGGGTGAGGAGAAAGGCTGTTGTTTCCATGAAACAATACTTGAGTGAGTCATTCAGAACAATTGCATAACTGAGAACATCTCGAGGTGAGTGCACTAGATGAGTGTGGTACCAGGTTTCTGTTAACTTTTGAATTTTCCTGAACAAGACTTGTGTTGGGACGAAGCTTGAGGACAGGAGTTGACAGCCCAGAGAAGCATTCTGGGTAACACCTAGTACTAAGGATTGCTTTTCCCTTCTTCCACCAGCTCTTTAGAAAAGGAGCAAATGTTGCGGAGGCAGGCGGAGCTGGAATCTGCGCAGAGCCGTCTGCAGCTCCAGGTTTTGACAGATGAATGCAGCAAACTCCGCAAGCAAGTTCAGGTGAGTCTCACGCTACTAATACACAGAGGATTCCCTTTCTCTTCAACCTGTCTTTTGCATGTTCCCTTAGAGGACAGAAGACAGGCTTCCAGTTTTAATAAGCAGCCAGATTTAATAAACTCAGTTGGTGAATCATCCCAGGCTGGTAAACATCTCAATCTGGTAAATATTCCAGGCTGTCATATTCACATATGCTACATAACACTGACTTTGGTTTTGATGCTTTTAAGACTTAATCAAAGTTGCAGCCTAGCAGTAGAGTTGTTTGGTTGCTGATGTTGCAGGTTCCTGCTCAGATTTTGTGTTGCCTGGAAAGACCTGGTAATACAGAACCAGACTTGTTCTCTTCATCTTTCTTGTAGTTGCATCAAAATAAGCTTTGACAAACTCTGTAGTAAACTTAAAATAGACCTATTAGTCTAGACTTGACTAGTTAGTCAAGAACCTTTGAGAAGCAGTTTGTGAAGAGGTATGGCTATATGAAATATGAAAAGAAAACAGCAACAAAAAAACCCTGAATTTTTTTTTTTTTGAAGGTCAGTCAACATTCTAGTTTAGGACCTTCTGGTACCCTGAGGCCTGTCCTGTCAGCAGGGGAGGCTGCATGCATAGGCTGAGCAGCTGCTGAGAGGCCCCTCTGTCCCCTTAGAACACAAATCACTGACAATAAATGACTGGTGCTAGATGGCTATTCCTTTCTGGCTTATGCAATACCGAGGTATTTTGTAACCCATCCCAGCTGCTTTTGCAGGATTCCTATAAATTGTGGACTCTACTGGTGCTTCCAGCTGTGAATTAGCTGCCATGTTCCACCAGTGCTAGGTTTTTCAAGAGTGTTTCATTGCCACTTTGCTCACCTCTTTGTTGTATGAAGTAGATGGTATCTATTATCTCACTGTCTAATAACTCGATTTTATGCTTTTCTTTATTTCTGGATTCTTTTATAGCCTTGGCTATTCATATCTGTACATTATACAACATCCTCTTTGCTGAAGTCTTCCTGTGTGATGTAAGATAAGGCTTTATAAATTGCCTAAAATCCTACATGAAGCTGTGTGCTCCTCAGTGCCAATAAGAAAATTGGCCCAGTTCAAACTTTGGCTTAAGAAAAATGTGAATAAGATAAAACTGCAGGTCCATAATGTTCTCCTGCAATTCTTTTGGTGTTAAATGATAGAGTATCCAGTCTAACTGAATTGAAGTCCCATGTTATAAAGATTAAGTACCTTGTGTTCTTTAAGCTCTGTTTCAGTATTTATACTGCATTCATCACTGTCCTGTAGTGGTTAATGCAAATGCTGGAAGCAATTTTTAAGGTGCTTGTTTATGCTAGGAATAAACTGAAAGTAGAACAATTTTCTGGGGAGCGGAAAATCAGCAAGAAGTCTGGAATAAGTCTTTAAGTTGTTTGATTATATTTTGAGCACATGCCTAACAAGTTCCTTGTTTTATGAGAGGTCATCTAGTAAAGCAACTACTTGCATAGTAGCATTTAGGTTGGGAGGGACCCCTGGAGATTTCTAGCCCTGCCCTAGTTGGGTGATTCCAGTGTGGGGTTAGGTTGCTCAGGGTGTGGAGTCTCCCCAAAAGTCATAGTGAACCCTTTTTGTTGCTAATGCTCTTCAGCTGTGCCTCAGGAGCTGTCATGGCACTAGTTATGACCCTCCTTTAGGTTTGTATGCATCTTTCCCTGGCTTTGCCCATTAACAGTCTTGTCCATTACACTTTGTTATTGAAGTATTTAACATGATTGAGACTAGCAAATGGATAAAGTCTTTAGCTATATGAAAATACATGAGGAAAGGAACTTGAAGTTGAGGGGAGGTAGCTAACTAAAACTCTGGAAGAAAGCCCTCAGCAGTGTTGTTTCCATCTGTAAACCTGCAGCGTGGGCTGTGCTGAGCTGTGTGCTGCACACTGCATGGCAGGTTCAAGCTTGCCTTTTGGAAGCAGAGCTACTGGCACCTTACTGTTACCTTAAGTTTTTCCTTTGGGAGCAGAAAACTTGAGAATCAGATATGAGCTACTGCAGTACTCCACCTGAATTTGTCAACATTTTCAGTAAAAGTTAGCTAATGATAAGCAAAACCATCTCTAGCTTCTGGCATTAATACCACTGATCTTCTGGGGTAAGAGATTAATTTTGCAAGTGGAAAGCTGTAGCTATGCTTGGGTATGGAGCAGTAAAGGGAGCACTGGCAGGGAAATGACAGGACACTGCACATTGCTGTGCAGAAGAGAGCAAATGTAATTGTGAGCCTTGCAGAGATCAGTTTATATTGCTCAATGTAATGGAAAAGCTTTTTTAAAATAGGATTTTCAGAGCATCCAAAAAAAAATGGGATGGCAAAATATCAGTAAAAATGTGTCTCTAATACCTCTAGAAAAAAAAATTAGGCTCATGGTTTTATTGCATAAAAATTGTTCATCTTTGTGATCTTTGTGTTCTCCTCCAGTTGATGTCTAGGGAAGTTAAAGCTGATACTTCATTGCTGTTGCTTATAATAAATAAAGCCAGTTAAAAATGCTCCATGTCCCTTAGCCTGAATTTGCAGCCAAACCCCAAAGGAAGGTGGAAGGTGGAATGGCTGCAGTGCTGCATCACAGCTTGAAGTTGTCCTGTCCTGTCTGTTAAAGGCAGGACTGGGCTGTGCAGTGTGAGGTGGCAGATGTGGCTCCTGTAAGGGTCTGTGGGAGACAGCCAGAGAGTGACAGTCATTGATACCTGCCTTTGTCTTTAAAGCTTCATATCAGCTATTCAGGCTGTAACCTAACACTCAAAACTGTTCAGAATTTATTGTAGCTAGTGGGTTTTGTTTCCTATTCATTGTGCTCTCCTGTTTCTAATTCTCATGCATGCTCCTCAGGAAGACTTCTGCTGCATAGCCTCTTCTTTCCCCCCCCGTGTGACTGTCCAGTCATCCCTGCAAAGGCAAGCTGAAATCCAGGAGACAAAGTGTGTGCAGAGAGAGAAGTCTGCCCTCAAGGCCCTTAGTTAATACCAGGCAGGAGGAAAACTCTGCAAAGCATCTTAAAGGAAGGTGTAGCCTTATGTTACCAATAGAGTGTTCTTTTGAGCACAATTAGTGGACTTAGTCTGCAGTGCAACGTTGTTTAATCACCTAGGTAATGTGCTTCCAGTGAGACTTCCTGACTCTGCTGGGTTTGTCCATTGTGTTTAAATGTAAACATTGCACTAATAGTCCTTGTGATTTTAATTGCTTGCTTTCCTTTGTAATAACCTGTGTGAAAATTGAACATTAAGTGCAGGTGACAAGGAGAGTTTTGTAAGGTCCCCAGAGCAACAAATAGTTTTAATCTCTTCTGATCCTCAGTGGTGGTGGTCTCCTGCTTTTTAGAAATAATTAGTTTATTAAACTTTTGATTAAAAGTCACTCTTTTTCTAAGTTACCTGTGTTTTCACTGACTGTTTACTGTAAGCCTGAAGCTATAGCTTCCATCATAAGTATCCTGGCAACCCCCACGCCCTTTCTTCCTTACTCAGGCTGTTTTACCTTTGCTTGCTCTAATGGGATCATCTTGAGTCTTCAGCTTTGAATTTTGTTTTGGTTTAATTTCTATGTTCCCTTGGGGAATTTGCAATGCACTTGATGCAAATACAGATCAGACCTCTGTAAAGTGTCAGAATTGCTCTCCTCTTGAGCAGTTTCCAGAAGTTATAGGTCTTGATAACTATTAATGTAGAGCTTGATCTTTGATCTTGCCTCTTCAGAAACTGCTGTCTTTGCTTCCCACGTGAGTTAAGCAGTGGTGGCTGGTTAAGTGACTTGCAATTACTGATAAATTCATAATATCACTCTTGTGGCCCTTAATTGTTTAAAGATTACACAGTGTTTGAAGCATAATCTGTGTTGCTCAGGCAAAAGAGAGCAAGTAGCAATTTTCTTAATATATACCCTACCTCTAAAATATCCCTGGGGTTCTGTACTGTGTGGTTTTGACCTTGGGTTGCAAGATAGTCCAAATGCTTTTTGGGAAGGGGCATTTCTAGTTCACTCACAATATGCCAAGTAGCACTGCCTGCATTCCCACCTCAGCCCTGATGATCTCTGGGAAAAGGAATTCAAAGACTACCTTGTTGCTCATGGAAGCTGTCCTTGGCCATGCCATTGCTGAGCATCCTTGAGCATTCATAATGGAGGTGGAGGAAAACAGGACTGGAGCTCTAGAGAGTTGTCATTCCTGGAATTTGCTGCCCAGGGTTTACAAGAACAGGATCATTGTCATTAAATAGACTGACTTGTTTCCTGCAACACCCTTTATGTTGGAACTTGGGCTTTTATTTTTTTATGGGGTATTCTGGAAACTCTGGAAAATGGTTTTAATTGACTTTCTCTTGTGGTTTAGCTGCATGTAATACTTGGCAGTTCATTCTCTTCTAAACAGCATTGATCTGGTAATAATTGTTACTGGCTCTTATGTGTTGCCCAAGAGTCCTTTCTTTCACAGGGTGTAATACATACAATAACAGACTTTGAGTGCATTCTGCCAGAACTCTGGGAGTATTTGAATGCTTCTGTTGCTCACTGTCCTAGGCCGTGGATTTAGAAATGCAGCACTTCAGGAAGAGCACAGGAACATGACCATACTTTTCCTCTTTACCTGAGAACAAGTACAGTTAGAGCATCTGGAGCAGATAGCACAGAAGGTTACATCACTAGAGATGCATTAAAGCTCTTTGGGTTTTTTCTTGGCAGGAGCTGAAGGCTCTGGTGGCCCAGCACAACGCGAGTGCTTCTCAGCATCCTGGTGGCTCCCGCACCTGCCTCCCAAGCAGCCTCCCCTCCAGCCAAAGCCAGCGCAAGTACCACTTGGAAAAGGTTTTCCTGGTGTCTCAGACTGGGAACTGCAGAGTAATGGCATACTGTGACTCACTGAGTTGTCTTGTGGTATCACAGCCTTCTCCACAGTCTACTTTGATTCCTGGTAATTAAGCAAGTCAAGATTTGGAGCTTCATAGATGAATGTTAAATGTCTTTTCTACTTGCTTCTTGTTTCACAGTTCTCTGCTTCACCTTTGCACATGCCTTGTAAACTGAGAATACTCACAAGACTCCCTGTAGTTCATCTAGTCCTTGCATTGGTAGCTTCTGCCTAGTGAAGTAGCTTTTCTCATGGCACTTCTACAGCAGAGTCCTAGCAGAGAGTCTCTGGCTCTCCTGTTGGAGTGCCACATCCACAAGAAGGTAAAAGCTGTGTCTGGTACTCCTTGCAAAGGTGGGTCTTCTGAAAGAGCAAGGATCCAGGCACCAGGGAGAAGCTTCCAGTGACTGAGTGAGAAACACAGCTCCTCAGTGTGGGTGGATTGATCTACATGCGGGCAATTTGTCAATACTGTCAAAAAAACACAACCCATAACAGAACAAAGAAAAAAACCCAAACCCAAAGTCCTTTTACTATGAAGCTATGAGCACTGTTTCCTAGTGAGGAAATAGGAAGCCAAGAAGTCATGGGCGGCCCTGATTTTGTCTCACTCTTACCTCCAGGGGCCAGTGACCTGACATCTGGACCAGTGCCAGTTGCTTTTTCAGTGCAATAGATCTGGCATTAGGAGTCTGAGCGTTTATTTGCAAAATGCTTTCTGAATGATGAAACTTACTTATTTGGTTAATGGGTTTGAGGTTAATGTGCCTTATCTAGGCATAACAAAGTGGGTTTCTGCATTTGTAGCCAGGGAATGAATCTCTGAATGGAGGCTTTGTGGTGACTCTTGTAGCACACAGGTTAGGTTCACCTGGAACCATTCTCTGCCGTGACACTTGTTCTCTTAAATAGCCATGTAATCCTATTGTGTGTGGTTTTATCTGGGCAGCAGTGTCTTTGAAGAAGCTGGATAAAGAGCAGCAGACCTTGTAACAGGAATTGTAACACTGGTAACTGAATTTGCTCTGGCTGGCTGGGATTCTTAAGGATTTAGCCCAGTTGCCATTTGAATTAAAGAATGATTTGTGGCAGCTCTTATCATACTATCATAGTATGTTAAGGGGTTGGAATAGACATTAGAGATCATCCAGTCCCACCCACCCTGCTCTGGGCAGGGACACCTCCCACTAGACCAGATTGCTCAAGGCTTTATCCAACCTGGCAATGTTCTTATCCAGAACAGTAAATAACTTTAACGTGTTCATCCCCCACAGGCTGCAGTACAGATGTTGTAGTTCTGGCATAAAATAGCAAGTTCTACACATATGCTGCTTTGCAATAACCTGCTTTATCCTTCTTCTGTGACAGGTTGTGGTGTGAAGATGATGAGTGTGGCCAACCTGAAGAGCAGTCAGTACATCCCCATCCATAGTAAACAGATCCGGGGCCTGGCTTTCGGCACTCGAGCAGATGGTTTGCTGCTCTCTGCTGCTCTGGACAGCACTCTCAAACTGACCAGGTGAGCCCTGCTGTGGGGAGCAGCCTGTGTCTGCAGGGTTTGGCTGTGTGCAAGAGACTGGATTGGATTCTTGTTAGAAATGTCTTGCAGCACTTGCTAATTCTGTATTCTGAAAGATGCTGCGAAGATGAGATCAGGTCTGTGTGTTCTTCCTGCATATGGGAACTATCAGAAGGAAGGACTTACTGATGCTGTCACATCTTCTAGGTGAAAGTGTTACAGAGCTACATCTCTGTAGTACTTTTCCTGTGTCGAAAATAATTCAGCATGGATTGGCCAAGTTGTGTTGAGAATAAACGTAGCATAATGTATAGACGTGAAATCTATTGTCCACTTGGTTTTCTGTTACTGCAGGGAAATGTGAAGTGTGAGAACTTGTATGGCATAAAGCAGAAACAAGTGGTGTTTAGGCTGGGCTCTTTCTTCACTGCACTGATATTGGCTTCTCAGATTTTAAATTTCTTGCAGAGCATGGAATTCATCTGGGATATGAAATGCATAAACAGCATTGTTGAGCATGTGCTCGAAACTCTCTAGAGCTAGCAGAGACTTTAAGCAGTAGGTTGGAGACTAATTATACCGAGACTGAGAAAAATGTCTGGTCCTGTTAGAATTTACTGCTTACGAGTGTGTTTTTTTGCTACTCTGCTGCTCTTCAATCTTAATCTTACACTGCTTCAAAACTTCATTGGCTGATTGATTCTTTTTGAGATGTATTAACATCTTTGTGCAACCTGTCTGTCAGTATTGGGTTAGGCAGGATAAGTGTCTGTCAAATGACTGATTAGTCCCAATTCTTTCCTACAAGTGAAGCAATGAAGAGAACTTAATTCTGCAACAAAAATGTACAGAATGTTGCTTTCCTGTAACAGTGTTGAATCACTTGTTAGACTAGATACAAGTAAACAAAACTGTCTCTGATGCTAAAGTCAGTGTCAGATTTCTGATCAGGTTGATACTTTTTTCGTGGTTCAGTCTGGAGAGCAGCTCCTTGTCAGTGTCTGCTCAAGCATTTGACTCCCACACTTGGCTTTGGAACTTGTGATCCTCTTGCTTTTGTGCTTGATCCCTGTCTTGCTTGCTTCAGCAGCATCTTCATACTTTTTTTCAGTCTCCTTCTGCAAGAACAGTTCTCCTTTGGTGATCTTTCTTCTCTAGTTACTGATTTCTTAGACATCCTACCAAAAGGAATTATCCAAGATGTCTTTTTTTCTCCTGCTCTGACTTGAAAGTGTTTAAAATAGCACCATGAGTTTGTTTTGTCAGGCTTTTTTTCCCCCCTGTTCTTTTGACCCAGTCACTGTTCTGATATCAAACTCCCCATCTAGGTTTGTCCTTGTAGTTGTTCCCATGATACTTACCTGTGAGCAATTACTTACTTCTCTGAAGCCCTGAGCACAATCCCCTTCCCCAGGGAGAAGCCCACATGTTGTAAAGGCTATCCGGAGTTACTTTGATATGTGCTGCCTTCTGTCTCCTGCTGTTCTCAGTGTGCCAAGCCTATGTTGACAATGCTGCCCTTTGTAAAAATGTCCTGATCTGGTATCAGCCTCATCTGCTGTTCTGGATTGTGCTTTTCTGTTTATTTCCCTCCTCTTTAGAAACTCCATTTGTGGGAGAAAGAATTAATACTATAAATGTTTTTTAACTGTCCTTACCCCACTCACAGTCTCACTCTTGCTTCAATTGGATTCTTTTGTGGCAAAAGCACTGTTCCTCTTGCATAAAAAGAGGGGAAGTAACGAGAGATGTAAACTGAAGACATGAATCCTGAGATCTCAGGAATATGTGATATTACGGGATTACACCAGAGTTGCTTCTCCTAATTGTTTCCAGAAAAGTAACAGCTTTCTCTTGCCAGTAAGGCAGCTGAGACCCTGCTGTGAGATTTCCTCTTCCAGTCTCCAAAGATCAATGTGGAAAAAGAAGCATTGGCCTGGAAGAATTATAAATCACTTTACAATATCCAAGGGATTATTCAGGTTAGGTTTTCCAGATTCATGTCTGGAGTAAAGGAGGAGTTAATTGAGAATTCGGTCTAAAGAGAGATGTTTCTGTCTAAAGACTTAAAAAAGCTAGATTTGCTTACCTGAATTATGCTGGTTTCTCATCAGTAGATGCTTGTGCAACTGGCCAACAATTTGCTTTTCTTCTGCAGCTTGGCAACAAACACTGTAGTGCAGACATACAACGCTGGCCGTCCCGTCTGGAGCTGCTGCTGGTGTCTCGATGATACGAACTATGTCTATGCTGGATTGGTCAATGGCTCTATCATGATATATGATTTGAGAGACACAAACTCTCATGTCCAAGAACTGGTCCCTCAGAAGTCCAGGTATGGCATAAGGACTTGTCATTCCTCTCAACTAATAAAAGTCAAGTTAAACACAGCTTCTTCCCTAAATCACACAGCAGTTGCAAGGGCTTAAATTGTCTTATGTCAAGCTCTTGTTCAAAAATTCACTTTTAGCACATAAGGCTGGTATGGTGGGAATATATAACTTAGGAGGTGCCAAGCACTCGTACTCTCTTTAAGGCACACAGGGGTCAGAAATGGGTTTGTTTTGGTGCTGGGTTTAGTATTTAGTTTGGAAAGGGCAAATCACAAAGAGGTGTGAAATGCTGATACTTCTGTCTCCTGCACTCAGTGAATCAAATGCTGATTTGCACATATCTGATGTGTGCTGTCTGATGCTTTTGTAAAACATAAGGCTCAGTAGTTAAGTTCAAGTTTCATTTGTACTTGATGCACCCATTGGGGTTCCTTGCTTGAAGGCCCATTTTGTAGCTGCTTAGGCCCTTTCTTTGCTGCGTGGCTGGAGAGACTGGAGC